TTCTCGACCGAGACTTGGATAGGTAACCAGTCGGCCTCGACACAGTGTTGTTTATGCCAACTGAAGATGCTGCGAGATCGGTTGATTCTACGGCGACATTGTTGTTTATGCCAACTGAAAATATCACCGGTTGCCTCCACAATGCTGTTTATGCCAACTGAAGATGTGTCGGCGAAAAAGAAAATAAAAAAAATCTCAAAGTTGTTGAGAGAGTTTGCGCAAGGCAGTTTTATGTGTTGAATCCTTGAATAGTTGCACGGTGTCTCGTATTTATAGGAGAAAATGTTATGTGGCGCTGCTTCATGCTAGTATTTGATTTCAACTCAAACTCACTAGCTAGAACTTTAGTCAACGGCTTCTCTCAAAGTAAATGAAAGCCTATCCTTCAGATACCACCATCCTCTGACTCTGCTTCAAAGACTCCTAGTCCAACAAGAACTCAATTTCCATCACATTGATCCATGTGTAGCCATGCACAGATAACAATAATCTCAAAAAGCACACCACGCGACCAAAACCACAACATCAAAAAGGCATATCCCATCTATACTTTAGATGATAATTATCTCATCTGCATCCATATTTATCTGCTCCATTCACCATGACTTTTCAAACCTCATTTAAACCACCACCTCGGGATGTTAATTCCTGGCATCCACACCAAAATCTTTATCCATATTTAAATATATAATAATCAATTTGCAGCATACTAATCATCCACACTGATTCCATCCACATATTATACACCAAACATCCAGATCGACTTGAATTATGCCACCGTATTCCCAGCTTGGAGATCTCTCATAATACATTATTATTAAAAGATTATGATAAAAATCATAACATTATCTTTTAATAATAACAAAACAATCTTTATCTTTCTATCCGACGGTTGGGAGCCATGCTCACTCAACAACCTTGATTGCACGGGCCGATGGTGTAAGTTCAGGTCCAAACACACATTGATTATAAAAAAGAATCTGTCATATAGATACATAAAAATAATTAACATGTGATATAGGTTGATTATAAAAATTAAAAATAAAATCTATAAATGTGGTTTAAAGCAGGAGGAAGAACAAGAAATAACAAGAAATAAAAATAAAAATAAATAATCAAAGAGATCATTATGAAGAAATTTGATTTTTATAATAAATCTTATCATTGAATAGATAATTATTGATAATAAAATAATTAAATTTATGGAATTGGACTTATATCAAGTTTTCCCAATAAACAAGCTATCGATTGGGATTTAGAGCTTAAACTTTCCGAAGGAAATCCTAACAAATTTGGTGGTCATAGGCCGCCTGGAATTCCACCGGTTACCACTGCGTTCACGTAGAAAAAATTTCAGTGCTTTTGAACATGAACACATATATCATATGTTTTTATACAAGTGAAAGGACATTTGAAAAAAAAATTCTTCACTTATATAATAATATATGACGTACTCTCCGTGTTCCAAAATGTTAAAAAAATCTCTCCCACACATGTAACATGGTCCCACGTAATTGACAAATTATGAAGCTAATTTCCGCTATCACAAGTTGTTGGATAATTTTTTTTTTGGTTAAGAATTTCAATGCGTGGGTTGTTCAATTGTTCACTACTATGGTGATCATTACATATAGACTAATCACTTAGCCAACAGCAAATAATATAGTGAAGTTAATTATGAAGTTAATTATCGTTGGATGAGATTTAATTCAAAATTTATGTACTAATATCTATTCATTTTAGAGTGGGTTCGATTCTCTTCCCTTATGACAATTGACTATTTAATCGATCTACTAAAAACAATTGTGTAAATATAGACTAATCACTTAGCCAACAACAAATAATATAGTGATTCGGTAATGCTAAGTGGACCTTTTTAGATTAAATTTGTAAATTATGTGATGTGTTATGTCACAACCCGTCCCAAAATTATATTTATCGACAGTGTGAAATGATGGAAATACCCTTGGACGTTAAATTGTGTGATGTGGTCTAGGTGTTGTGCATGGATCATTATTCTCAAATTCTAATTATTTTGGACCAATTAGGATTAGGTATATTATGTGTTTTGAATTGTTGACCAATTCTAGGCCACACACCCACATCCACATCACCCTCTCTCTCTCACTCCCGCACTCTCCCTCTCGGACTCACTCTCTCCTCCCTCTCCTTCGTACGGACAAGGTCAAACCGAGCCAAATCTTCATGGATCGTGGACAAATTTAGTATCATTGTGTTCGTGAGGACCATACGAGTTCAAAGGTACCCATTTCAGGTAAGAACTCGTTCGATTTCACGTTGAAAACTTAAGCTCTGAGTTGAGCACTATTCATGAACTTTTAAATGGTTGTGTTTTAGCACAAGAAGGAAGAGGGGTTCCTGCTATGAATTCAGCCGTACAGACTACTCAGGAGTTCCTGCTAACATGTCATACTTCTATGAAATCATTATTACCTGGATTGTTACTTATTATATTTTGGCATGACATACATATGAAAATGATTATGTGAAGCATGAATTGAATGGTTATGATTTTAGATATATATATATATATATATATATACATATATATGTATATATGCTTACATCTTGATTCTGGGAAAATTTTACATGTTTTACAGCGAGGGGTTATATATGGTTATAAATGAAATGATTTTGTAAAACAATTGTTTTTGCCCACTCACGTTTTCTGTTTTGCGCCCCTCCAGATTTTAAGTAAGATTGATGTTGGTGGCTAGAGGACGTCGGCAGTTCTAACTTAACCATATAATAGTAGGACATTCCTGGTACTGTATAACTAGTACTTGTCCTACTGGACTGCACCTAGACTTTATGCTCTGACTAGGAGTGTTACTGTTGTACTTAACTCTTACCATTTTCTGTTTAGAAGTTTACACTAGTAATATGGTTTTTAATTATTCGTATGTTTGCTATATTTATCGCTTCCGCACTGTGCACATGGCTACGTCACTCTCACTTGACCGTCATCATGCCTTGACCTCGGTCGGGGTGTGTCATGTTACCAATAAGAAATAAGCATGTTAATCAGTGGTTAAGTACTGGTCAAATCATCAACAACTGTGTCATATAATTCACAAAATATAGTTTAAATAAATAGTTTCCCCATCATTAATTATAATGATTACAAATTAATACTCGAGGTGACGAGGAAAATTATAATTTGCATTCTAAAGTTTCAAAGCATAGTCATTGGATTGTTGGGACCGTGGCGATAACATAGAATCATGTATTAAAAATAAGAAAAACTAATGAAAAGGGCTTGAAAACTTTGAGTTTTAATGATAAGGACAAAATAAAGGGTAAAGTGAATAGTACCAGGATTGACTTTTTAATGTAAAAATGTGGTTTTTCGTTAAAGTGAACAGTACCAGGTGTTTTTCGTTAAAGTTCCCTTAAAAATAATTGAACTTTTAATAGTCAAAATAGTTGAATTTGAATTAGGTTACCAAAAGTAGGGTTTATTATAGTAAATTCTCTCATACTGAGAGCTATTCTCACCACCTGTATGGGATTACAGAACAAAAATATTAGTCAGCCGCCGACCCTTGTCTCGGCTAAAGGTCGATGGCAACCTCGATTCCTTTTTGGTTTCCTTTCTTTATGCGTCTGTCAGCCTTCTTTTCCTTCTGTTCTTCTGCCAAATTTTCTCCGACCCAAAACCTTAACTCCTTTGTCATAGATCGGAAAGCCCCCAATTCTGACTTTCCTTCTCATATTCTCCGCAATGTTTGTTCACTAGTCTCAAAACAATCAATTTTCTTCATTTCCTTTATGGCCTTCTCATCCTTCTATTTCCTCTATTCTATATCATTTCCCCTTCTTTCATTGGATTCATTACCTTTTGACCCACAGGCACCGCGTTTTGTCACGGATCTACGGAAGGGTGTGTAGAGCTTCAGCTCCGGTGTTCGCATCACCACCTTTAATGGCCCTTATTGGCCATTCCCTTTGCCTGCATTTGTTAACGATATTGCTCATGAGAGCCTTCTTGGTTTCGTGTCGGCATTTGTTGATCTCAAAACTGTTATTAGTTCTAGGTTTTTTTACTGTGTGTTGTTGTTTTGGGCTCCAATCCTGGTGATAGGTTGGGCTTTTTCCTTGTAATGTTCTAGAGGTCCATATTTTCCTTTGTACTTTCCTTGTGATTGGGGATTCGTTTTGTATTTTATGTTAGTAAGTAGTGAATGTTAGCTTTAACCAGAAAAAACTAAGGGTCTAATATTTATAGTTTGGTTTACCATCTTCAACCCTTGGGTTAAGACCTAAAATTTAAGTTTTGAAATAACCAAATCATTCTCCAATGGTTAGGCATAAAGTTTTGGGTTAAAACCTAAAATTTGGGCAATTTAATCTAGAATTTAGGCCAGGGTTAAAAGGCTAGCCCACCAAAATTTAGGTTTTAAAGTAACCCAATCCTTCTCTAATGGATGAGTCTAAAATATGTTTTGGATTAAAACCTAAAATTTTGGCAAATTTAACCTAGAATTCAAGCTAGGGTTAAAAGGTTGAGCCATCTAATGTGTGTGGACACGCCCAGAAAAGTAGAAGCCGCAGCAAGGCGATGCGCGTAAGGCACGAAGCTGGAAGTGGGGCCCACCCTTGACGAGAATGTCGGCCACCCAAAACGAGCCCAATGAATCTTTTTCAATCCAACGATTTAAATTATTAGACTATTGGTTGATCAAACGGTCTAGATTTGTAACAATTTGTTCCTAATTTTACGGCTTTATTAATTTTTAAAGTGAAATTACAAAAATGCCCTTTTAAGAGAGATTGTTTGATCGTCGTTGACCAGCATATAGTGAGATGTACAAAACATTCTTTTAGTTTATCTTTGTTGTATTCAACGACACGAACGCGTAGGCGTAAGCGGAATCGAAATCGGAATTACGGTTAAAATTTTACAAAACTACGAATGTGTTCACATTGCATGGAGATATTTTTTCTTTCTATTTGTGGGTCAATGGGGCCCACACCTCATTCTTTTTTCCCTATCCCGTGTTTTCCATATCTCTCATTTTTTTCTTCCGTCATTCATGTTTCTATCTCTTCCCGCATCTCTCACTTAAATTATCACCTCCCTCTACTTCCAATGGTGCCGAGACCAGGACACACCATCCTCCTTATTAACCTTCTATTATCACCTCATTCTTCACTTGTTGTCTCAGACATAAACCAAACGAAACACAGGCGGCGTTGCGGCTATTTCCATTGAACTTGAGCCACCACCATTCGCCATTTTTTCCGACGAGTTCCCCCGATCACAGCACCTTGGTCACGCACCTCCCTCTGTGAGTTCTATGAGCTCAGAAACGAAGGAAAACGCTTCCAAATCTCCTCAATCACCTCACTGTGTAGTGACATCGTGAGCACCCTCATCATCGACGAATCTCACTCTTCACGGCTTAGGTAAGCCTCAGGTCACCTCCGCCCTTCCTCATATGTGTTTTAGAAACAATGTCTAGATGTTGGACGTCTGATTTAGTGAGGTATGGTACAAAAGCGCGACTAGGAGGAAAAAGTTCCCCTGATTCTAGCAAAGTCTGTGACCATTGGTCACTTTCATGTGTGATTTCCAGCCATATCCGGCCATGAATCGATCTAGTGTAGGTATATATCGATTCCCCTCATTCCCAGCTTCACATCCATATATAAAATGTTGATTATGATCTGGATTTAAGCTCGTTTGAAGCTTTAAAAGTCGGTCTTGCAACCTACAAATTTGTAGGCTTAGCAAGGAAGGCGAGTACCAGTGTACTCGCAGACACGTGGGCACACATGGGGAAACCACTGAGAGTAACGTGTGTGGCGCATGGCTGCCAGTGCAGCCATCGTGTGGCGGTGTGTGGTGAAATGCATTTATACATTAGTATGTTATATATTTACGCAAGTGGTTCCGTTGCTAGGTGAAACGCATTACAAGGATCTTTGATGCCCGTGAGACGGGTTTGACTCGACGACATGATTTGTGAGTGGGTCTTTTCTTATATATATATATATTTGTTTAGTTTCCATATATACATCTAATAGCGGATTTTCTATGTGATGCCGTAATTAAATTAACGTTTATACGAAACGTAGTAATGTTGAGAATTTGGAAACCATTATAAATCCTACGAGACGCCTTAATTAGATTTACGACTATGAATAGTATTATGTTGACTAGAATTATTGAATCGTTGTGACATGACTTTATTTAGGTTATCTGCTCATCGTGTGCTACACTGGTGTTTGTACTCGCCTGGGCCAGAGCCAAGCTTTATGTGCATATTCACATTGCATCATACGCTGACTTTAACTCCATTGTAGGTGCTAGTCTTGTCCTAGATTGCTTTAGGCAATGAGGATTTGTATGTCATGTGCATAGCGCCAGTCTTCACGTGATTGTAGTACTAAAGTGTAAATCATATTACAACTAGTCATGTTCATGTCAGAATACATCTACATGAACTCGTGTGTCAGCATATGTCGATGAGCACTTGATGTGATATGTTTATTTTAGGGAAATATTGTGGTTACCGGAAGTTATATTCTTATTTATGAATTTTTGTGACGTATGAAATTCTTGAGTTATTGTAGGCTACGGTAAGTATTTTCATACCATACGTAGTAAGTGTATTTTGGAAACTATACTTGTTTTACAGCGAGAGGTTATTATGTTTTCGAAAAGGTTTTTAAAAAACTTTATGTTTAGGCCCATTCACCTTTGTTTTTCGCCCCTCCATGTTTTAGTAGTTGAGCTTTCAAATCGACAAGGATTCTTGGCAAGTCTTAGTATAGGAGGTTACCTTCGATGGTATAATTTTTATCATACCTTTACTGTACTTTATTTATGCTTTGACATCACGTGTGAAATGTGGCTCATTCCCGCTCACGTGCGCACTCTTGCACTTAGTCACTTTTAGATTTAAATTTATTCACATTTTTCACATCACTACACTTATGGCTTCGTTACCTTCCGGTGTCGGCCAACATAACTCGATTCGAAGATCCAGGTGGACCTTCCGGGTCATAATGTGTCAAGATTCAAACTTATTTAATTTAAAATTTTTAAATACATTAAATCCAACAGCTGAGATCAAATATGATCACATCTAGCGGTAAAAGAAAAGATCTAATGGCTCAAAATTAAACCCTCTTCAACAACCTACGTCATTGACAGCAACCCCCTTCTCTTTCACCGCCGACCAACCCTCCCCCTCCTCTTCTTACTATTCTGTCTTTCAAACTAATGGTACTATATTCAGATCACATTCAATTTCGAAGATGGCAATATGATCCTAACTTAGATTTAAAAAAAAAAAAAAGACTCAAAAGAATTTAGGTATGAAGAATTTATCAGTAGACTAATTAAAATTATGAGAATGGCATTTTACTTCCTCGGGCAATCATTACTGTCCTAATAGAAAACACACAAACATGACTATTCAGAGAGAACATCATACTAAGAGGGACAAGGATTGTCTGCCCTCCTACTTCCCGTGCCCTTCTGTGCCCTCCTGTTTTGTGTAGTCACGGTTAAGCCATGTCAACATTTTATTTACTATTCATTTTTGTCTTATTATCTCTATAAAAAAACAATATAAAATGTTGACGTGGCTTAACCGTGAACACACAAAACAGAAGGATACGGGAGAGCACGGGAAGTGGGAGGGCAGACAATCCTTGTCCTACTAAGAGAGGTTTAGAAGTTGAATTCATGCAAGCAACAAAGAGATATTTGATGTGGGTTTTATGGGATCAAATTTGTGAAGGATTTCTTTATTTTAAAGATGAATATTAGCTTCTATATAAAAATTAAAAATAATATATGGATATTAGCTTTTGGGTCAAAGATTTGAAGGGGTTTTGATATTTGGGAGCTTTATATGAAGCCAAATATTTTCACTATATTTCAAAGAACTTCACTAGTTTTTAAATATGTCAATGAGAGACAAAACATAAAATCAATTAAAGCTCATCCCAAAAACATAGAAACAATGTTTTAAAATACCAGTCATACCCCTAAGGCTTTATGGCTGCTACTTGAACCTAGTCCTCACAATTTCAACAAAATTAATATGTGGCATAAGGTCAACCCATCCTCGACTATTTCTGTATAATCAGTTTTGAAACTATATGTGGAATCAATTTGTATCCTTTATTACTAGAATCAGTTCAACCCGTCATCGACCATTTTTACATAATTAGTTCAACCCATCTTTGACTATTTTTGCATAATCAATTCAAACTGTACTCGACCATTTTTGTTGAATCAATTCAATTCGTCTTCGACTATTTTTGCAGAATTAGTTCAATCTGTCCCTAACCATTTTTGCAGAATCAATTCAACTTGTCCTCGATCATTTTTGAAGAATCAGTTCAACCCGTACTCGACCATTTCCAATCTTTCAAACGCCAAGTTCACCTTCGGCCTAATATTTCTTGAAGAGAAAAAGAGAGAGAAAGGAGTAACAGATGAAGGGATGGAATTGTGAAAAATTCTACCACTAAGGGTATTGTTGTAACTTACACTCTAGAGAAAAAATATTAATGATGCATCTTTTACATGTATTAACTTTGTCTTTCCTTGAGATGTTTAGAAAGTGTTGTTTCAATATAAAATTAAGTATTAAATGTATACTCTATGTATAATTTTTTCTTTATATTTCTGGGTTGGTATGTTTTATGGCTCTTGTGTTTTCTTTGAAAATCATTTTTTTTTAATTTTATATGGTATGTGGGATTATAATGTGTATGGAAAAACACAACAGTAGGGTTGGTCTAGCAACGCTAATCACTTATGCTATCAATAATATTGCTATGAAACACTTTTACATCTCTAACAAAGAAGGAGTCTAAGGCCTCGTTTGGCACACCATATAAAGCATCAGATAGGACTAATAATACAAAACTGGTTGTTTGGTGCCCTTATCGGATAAATAATCACCCGCTTAATTGTGTGGTCAACCTTTTTAAACACGGTTGACATCCGCTAGTTAATACACTTCTTAAGCTCGATTTTAATTAGTCGGGTGTAGAAATGCTCTGAGGCTCTTTCTTCTTCGCGCATATGCTCTTTTGGCGAACTTCTTCTTTTTCTCCGTCCCAAAGATCTTTTTCTCTTCTCTTTCGTGCTCCCTCCCTCTCTCCCCGTTTCCCTTTCCAGTCTTCAATATATATTCAGTGGCATCTCTCGTCCACACTTCCACAGTTTCAATCTTGGTACACCGATGACCTGTAGGAAAAAATAAAATAGAAAAACTCAGATCTATTCTTCTACGATGTTGCTGCAACAAATTAAGGTCCAATGTCACAACTGAAATTCATCAAAAGCTTCATTAACATAAAGAATTTCATGGGTTTTGCATCTTTGTATATTGAGGAGCCTAAACCCCTGCTCGCACCCACACCCCAGATCGCACCGGCAAAATATAACATTATAATAAACACATTTCATACAATTACAACGAAAATGAGCAATAAATTAGGAAAACAAAGGTAAATCTCAAATAAATCCATGGCGATAATCTCCAGGCACTGATGCAGCGCTAACCCTCTCTTTTATTTTTTTTTTATTTTACTTTTTTTTTAAATTTTTTTAAATATCAGTTTTTTAATCAAATACATCACCAAATGCTCTACTAATATAGTCAATATTATCCAATGACTATTTATTTTATCCGACTGAAATAGTCAGTACAATCCGAACTGCCAAACGAGGCCTTAGATTTATCTCTAATACAACACACAAAATGGGAAAGAAAAGACTTTGTGGTCAATTTATGGAATGTCATGTTTATAATCTGAATTGTTCATAATATAAATAAGGGTAGTGCTATCACACACTTTTTTTACCTCCTACACACCTATATTAATTTTTTTTTATTGATTTTCTTTAATTCATTCGATCCGAAAATTAAAATGTTTATGAGAGGTAAGAAATAGTTGTGTGGATAGCACCACCTCTAATAAAGATCACCTCTTAAAAAATAAAAAATAATAAAAAATGGTTTTTTAAGCTAAAATAGTTTATGAGGTTGGCATAACTCCTCATGTTAGTCCCTAAGATTTGAAATTGATAGAAATGGTCAATGTGTTTGTTCACTATCAATTATTTTGGTTATTCTATGATAAATTTCCATTAAATATGTATAAAATGACAAACCCTGAATTTTTGTTAAATCATTTTAACCCATTATTTATTAAATTGAGAGTATTTTTGTTATTTTTGTCCTTATTTAATAGGATTTTTTACAGAATGACCAAAATAATTAACAGTGGACAAACTAAGAGATCACTCTTATTTGATTCAAATCTCAGAATCAAAATAAAGAGTTATTGCCAAATTTGGGACCTTTTTATCTGAGATCATTTGGGCTCACTTTTATTCATCTGAGCCTACAAAGAATGGAACATCAGTGAATTGAACATCAACCTCCTTTTCTGACTAGGGTTTTGAGCTTCAAATAGGTAAGAATATGTTCTCCTTGTTGAGAGCTTCAGATCTACATAAGATTTGTGAAATTTGGTTGAAAAATGAAGTAGAAACTAAGGTTTTAAGAGTTTTCAGAATCTGGCGTTGCAGACGGCGGCCGGCGGCGGCTCCAGTGAAACCACCGGAGAAGACAGAGAATATTCCATCAACTTTGATAGAATATATTGATGGTGTCAGGTAACTCCGTTAGTTTTTAAACGGAACATTCCCTAACGCCGTTAAGGATTCTGTCAATGTGCTAGGCACGTGCATGCGCGTGGCCAGCGCATGAGATATCAGAATTTTTTTCTAAAAATATGGGGATGCTCATGGTGTTAAGTAGGCCATGATGGTATATTCAAACACCCCAATTGAGCAGCGTATGAGAAGTTATTACACGATTTTGGTTATGTGCTTAAAATTAACGTTAAATTAGTTGTTTCGCATATATGTGAGACGTTTCCGAAGGACGAGAGTAGCCACAACACTGCTACATACCAGTGAGTGGGCTTTTGGTTTTCTATATATACGTATATATGTTTTCCATTTTCCCAAAAATTGTTTTAAATGGATTTACGTTTTTAAATGCCATGTCAATTGTGTTACATTTTAGTATATGCATTAGTATAGATATACATGTTATTGCATGACGCTGCAGATGCCCATGTAAATTTTAGGTGAGTGCATATTGATGATAGTGATTGCAGTGTGTATGGTTATGTTTAGATGCATTTAGTGCTCATTATCCTGCACCCCGGTGTTAGTGCTTCGCCCGAGGCCAGGATCTAGCCTTCACATGATCGTTCACCTTCCGCACCACACGCTCACCTTGGAGCCAAGGCAAGTGCCAGTCTATCGTACAGACCACATTAGGTGGTTCCGACTCGTAGGTGACTTGCGATACTTCACATAGCCTTCATGTGATCGTAGCACTTGAGCGTATTTATTTACACACAACCCGTCGTACAAACCACATTAGGTGGTTCTGACTCGTGTGCATGAATTGGTAGATGAGCTATAGGCTCAGCCGTACATGATACGTTAGGTGACTTCAATTGACATATCAGTTTACATTGATTTATTTTACCTGGCTTACTCATTTCATTGCTGAGATACTTGACATGGCATATACTTGATTTTCACTACTCTCGAGCATGATTTCTACATACATATGTATTACTATTTTCTGGGAAATTATACGGGATTTACGGTGAGAGGTTATTATTTTTGGAAAGAGAAATGGTTTTAAAAAGCTTTGTTTTTGCCCACTCACACTTTTTGTTTTGCGCCCTTCCAGGTTCTAGTTAGTCGTTCGTGTTGGTGGCTTACAAGGACTCTACGACGGTTCTGACAGACTTCAATTAATGTAGGAATTTTTTTCACGTCTTGTATAATTAATACTTAGCATGCTGGACTGCATCTAGGTTACCTATGCTCTGAATATGTGTATCTACACCTTAAGTACCTCCACTCGCACTTATTTATATTTATCTAGTGTAAGTTAGCTAGTTGGTTTTTATTTACTCACATTTTCATATCACTATCACTTTGGCTCTGAGCTTATGGTTACGTCACTTTCACGTGACGGCTAGCATGCCTCGATTCCAGTCGGGGTGTGTTACATTGTCAGCTACATTAATAGATTTATTTATTTTTGCTTAGAATAAGAAAAAGACTTCAAATTGAATTACATTCCCCAATTTTATTTTTGTGGTGTTGTTTTCCAATTGTAGTCAAGATGACGAGAGATTTTTCAATGTAATCAGAACATGGGGTGGTACACCACGTCTCTATACAAGTTGTGAGATTCTTGTGTTAAAAAAATTAATAACATAAAAATAAATTTTCCCACTGCTTACATAATAACATGTGGTGTACCACTTGTGTTACGAGCAAAAGGAAAAATTTCTTGAAGACGACACCCAAGCTCAAGAAATTGGATGGAGAGTTACATTGATTATTGTAGGTATGCAACAAATGTGAGGAAATTTTAATTTGGTAATTGAAAACAAATTTTTAATAAGGGTTTTATCATAAGTGGTCCCTGAAATTAACCCTCATCATCAAGATGGTCTCTTAAATTGAAAATCAATCAATGTAGTCCCTGAAAATATGTGTCGTAAATAAATGTGGTCATTCTGTTATAATTATGTTAAAAATTTTGTTAAGTGCTGATGTGGCACATAAATGGGCCCTATAAGTTTTTTTTTTCTCTCTCAAATGGTCCTTGAAATTGACCCACAACATCAAAATGGTCCCTGAAATTGACCCACGACATCAAAATGATCATTGAAATTGAAGATTGATTAATGTAGTCCTGCAAGTAAGTGTCTCAAATCAATGTAGCCATTCTGTCACAATTCTATAAAAAATTCTGTTATGTGCTGATGTGACACATAAATGGGTTACACAAGTCTAATTAAATTACAAAAAAATATTACAAATTGGCTTTATAATTTAATAGTTAATAAAAAAATGTCAACCCAAAAACCCAATCCTGTAATCACCTCCGATCTTAGTCCACATTTCTCTACCTCCTTCGCTCTATTCCCTAAAAAAAAAAAAAAATAATCAATACACCCATCTTTACACACTTTGACACCCTTCATTGAATTGAACTTGAATCGAGATTACCTTTGGTGATGGCTTGGCCCATTAACAACAACTTCTGAGACATTACCATTAACATTTAGGCGATCAACATCCTCACAATCTTAATCTTAGAGAGATTGTTCGACGCTTCTCTGGTGGTCTGGTGATGCAAAAAACATCGAGGTATGCCTTGAGATAATGAAGTTATAACCGAGGTGCGTCTATTGTTGGTTGAAAAATATTTTCACACCCCCTTTTAGGCATTGGTTAAGCCTTGTGCTTTTGAGAATTTATAGAAATGATCTCTCTTCGGAGTAGGCCCTACTATAAGGAAAAAATTTCATAAAGGTATTTAGACAACTTTTTAAATTAATTATTAAACCCATATCAGCACATAACAATTTTTTAGGGAATAGTGGCGGAATGATCATATGGATTTGTGGCACTTATTTTCAAGAACCACATTGATTGATTTTCAATTTCAGGGGACTATCTTGATGGTGTGGGTCAATTTCAGGGACCATTTGTGATAAAGATCGGTAAATCTTGTGGGGCCCATTTATGTGCCACATCAACACTTAACGAAATTTTTAATAGAATTGTGATAGAAGGAACACATTGATTTGCGACGCCTATTTTCAGGATCTACATTGATTGATTTTTAATTTTAGGGACTATCTTGATGGTGATGATCAATTTTAGGGACCATTTGATAAAAACCCTTTTAAATATAATTACTGAGAACATAATCTTTTCAACGTTTTGGTCTAAATGATCATTTATGGGATCATTGTTTTCTGTGCAATGGGTGCTTTTATAGGACTAAAAGGTTTAAGTTTCAAGCCTTATGAAACTGAATTAAGAATTAAACACTATTTATAAGACTAGACCAATAAGTAGACACTATTTATATGACTGAATCAATAAGTAGATGTTATTTATGAAACGAAAATAAGAATTAGACACTATTTCCAAAACTAAATCAATACGCGGAAATTATTTATGAAACTAGACTATACACTATTTATGAAACTGAACTAAGAACTAGACAATATTTGTGAAACATGACTAAGAATAAGACAATATTTATGAAAGAGGACCAATAACTATGCACTATTTATGAAACCGGACCAAGAAAGAAACACTGTTTATGAAACTGTATCAATTACTATACATTATTTATAAAACTAAACCCAATAACTAGGTACTATTTATGAAACATGGCTAAGAACTAGATACTATTTATGAAAGTGGATTAAGAACTAGACACTATTTATGAATTTGAACCAATAAATAGTGTAGTATTGTTCAGTTTCATAAATAGTGTCAGTTTCATAAATAATGTTTAGTTTCACAAACAATATATGTGAAGGACACATAAGTCCCTCGCATCAGTTTTTTATTTATTATTAAAATTAGTCATTTTCATTAAAATTTAAATTATTTTGTCATTTTTATTAAATTTAAGAATTTTTCATTAATATTTAATTTTTTTATTAAATAAAATTATAATATAATTATTAATTAAAATAATCTTAATCCAAACCTTTTCATGAAAATTCGCTTAAAAAAAAAAAACTCCTCCATCTTTCCCTCTCTTTCATGGGCAATGCTTCGGTGCTTGGCTTAGTCGTCTTCAATGGAGAAACTGAGGAAAGCGGTGAGCGAGATCGCCTACACTCAGGACCACACTAAGCTCACTCATCTTCACCGCTCTCTTATCCCTGTCCTCTCCTTCGCCTCCTCTCTCTACAGGCTCGCCCTCTCTCTCCGCCGCTCCTTCTACCACTATGGCCTCTTCACAAAGCACCGGTACTCTTCCAATCCCCGGTTCATTATTTATCTCTTGTCTGGATGCTCGGAAAATTGAAATACAATATCAATTTGTATCACATTCAAAAGTGCGTGCTCCAATTGTGCTACATTTTCTCACAGTTTCTCAGCAACCAAACGGTCCATAAAGTGTTTGTCCGTCGGTGTTGTTTAGAAGCTCTAATAATTAGATTATCTGGTTGAAACCCTAATGATTCGTTTCACTTAGGGAAGCTATTGCAACCAAATTCAAGCTTGAATTTCTGTTTATTTCCAACTTTTATTTGGCGCTTTTTGCGAATTTCTCCGAAATCAAACACTGTAGAATTTAGATGGAATCAATGCAGGGCCCTTTTTTGACATAATTATATATTTAGTTAATTGCTGATTTTAGCTATAATTAAAAGGGAGTTACTGATTTGAAGGTTACCGGTGCCAGTGATCAGTGTTGGGAATTTGACATGGGGAGGCAACGGGAAAACTCCGATGGTCGAGTTCATTGCGCGGTTTTTAGCTGATTCGGGAATTTCTCCTCTCATTCTTACCAGGGTACTTTATTTTGGTTTTTTGTGTCTGAATTTTTAGGTGTTATTTAAAGTGTCAATGAATTTTCAAGTGATATTTCTGTAGTCTGACCCGAGATTTTGTGAAACGCCTCTGGTAGGGTTATGCTGGTGGGGATGAAACCAAAATGCTTCGTAGGCATTTGCTTGGAAGGCCTGTGAAGATAGGTGTGGGTGCAAATCGGGCAGCTATTGCTGCTCATTTCTTTGAAAAATATGGTTATGTTGATCCTTACTCTACAAGTAATTACGCTGATGGATTTAACCTAGGGCAGAAAGTGGGGAATCATCCTAGTTCAGAAACAATTGGTGCTGTAGTTCTCGATGACGGAATGCAGGTATAGTTATATATTTTATCTCTATCCTTAATATGGGATGTGCCGGATGGCAAAGGAAAGGGTGCTTTTTATGGTTGTTCAAAGAGAAGTTTGAGAGGCATGCCAAATTGGCCTAAATCAAACTTTAACCGTTTAACATATTTATATTTTGACATGTAGAGCTTCCTGTGCTCTGCTACTATTTTTATTTTTGTAAATATGTGGTCTGGATGCTAACTCCATGAATCTGTAATCCCACTCCTAGTTGCTGCTTTTTGTTACTTTTGGTTATAGTTGTCTTATGCTCATTGAGGTGCTATGCTCTTGCTTTATGCTATAAAAATTTGCAAGACAGCACTGGAGCCTGCAGCGTAATCTGGAGATTCTAATGATTAATGGACTAACACTATGGGGCAACTGTCACTTAATACCACGTGGGCCATTAAGGGAACCCTTGAATGCACTTAGACGGGCAGATGCTGTTGTGCTCCATCATGCAGATTTGGTATATAAACTGACCTTTTATTTCTAGTTTTAAAAGGTGACTTAAAGATTATATTAATCGGGCGCCCTCATTAACTTTGTATATGTTAGCCAGGGAAAGTCATTAATTGACAATTTTATGTTTGTGAATCTCACAGGTTTCAGAACAAAGGCTCACAGATATAGACTCCATGCTAAGAGAAGTTAATAAATCTGTTCCAATTTTCTTCACTAAAATGGATCCCTGCTTTTTCTTCAACGTGGGAAATGTCAACTCCAGAAAACCAATTACAGCTTTGTCTAACAGCATTTTATTATGTGTTTCTGCCATTGGTTCTGCAGATGCATTTGTGAAGGGAATGGAGAAGGTATTATACTCTTGCCCACCTCTCCTATACATAAACATAGTTTTGTGTGTTTTTGCTGCTGATCAATTTTCCAATTTCCTTCTTGGAGGAGATTCCAAGAAGTTTCATAAAGGTCTTTTTTTTTTGTCTTGCGGCAAACTCTGTGGTTACAATTTATTTCGTTGCCGTTTGGTTTGTTTCTATTATCTGTGATTGTATCTCTAATGTGGATAACTTGCTGCAGATAGGGGCATTCTATGTTGATCGACTTGAATTCAGCGACCATCACATATTTCAGCCCAAGGTACATTCAATCTTCTGCTTCTTCTTTGACATGAGATTATGTCCCGACATCCCGTGCAGTTTTTGTTAAACCAAATGATGGAGAGACACCTTTATACTTTGAATGCTTGCTGCATAAGTAAAATGTAAATATGTTGTAGCTGCCTTTGTCCCTCCAAAAAATGAAAAATATGTTACTCTTTTTCATTGCCGTCCAGTCTTGTCAATATAATCTAATTTCAGTCTTCTGATCAGACACAAGTAGATGGTGTGTAATGCTGCTTTAAAACAGAATTTAGCCCGCAGGGTTGGTTAAATGTTGATTTGGACGCTAATGTGATGACTTCGTCTTTCTGTTCTGAATCTAGGATATTGAGATGATGAGGAAGAAACTAAGAGAGCTGGAGGATGCATTTGGTTCCAAGCCAGTCGTTATAGTCACAGAAAAGGTAAAATAAACATTATGGCAGGTGGCATATGCACAGCACTCTCTTTCTTATCTTTTTAAAAATTTCTTAAAGTATTTTTCTTGCTTAGTCGTTTCCTTTATCATACGATAATGTTAACTTATGTGTATTGGTGAGAATTGTGGGAGGCATGTCTTCCCTTTCAATTGATGTAGGGCGGCGAGTTGTTGAAAAATGGATTGTTTAATCAAGACTGCTGACTACATCATTTCATTTTTCTTCTTTCTGAATTTAATTTCATGCTATCAGGATTATGATCGAGACCCGGGGATTTTTGAGCACCTGGATCCTTATGAAATCTTGGCACTCTGTTCTGAATTGAAGATCATACCTCGCGGTGAACGCACTGAAGATAGCTTCAAAAAGCTGTTGAAGGAGATTTGAAAGAAAACTTACAAGGTAAAAACAGAATACAGGTTTGCTATTTTTTTATTTTTTTGGACAAATAAAGTTTGCTTAGTTACAGTAAGGCAAAATGAATCGTTAACCTAGAAACAGAAAAGAACGGAAAAAAGAAAACCTAACAAGGATGCAGAGAAACAATTGGAGAAAGGGACATACGTAGAACGAATACATATTCGAATCAGGGCTTCTTTATTCAACTAGAAATACATGAGCAGACTACAAATACATGGGCAGTACCAAACGCTATGGATTTTGCTGTACCGCTCTTTCTTCAATTCTTTTCAGGTAGTCTTCATTGTCTACCAACACCTAGAGGGTTAACAAGAAATGTTTCTGTAAGCTTGCGCCCATAAAAGAATAATATCTTTGAGTTATGCAATGAAAGGAGGTTCATGTTGCCTTTGCCGGTTAACTCAAGCGGTGTGAAAGAGAGTGATGCAATGAGTTAGGACTAAGATATGTTCAGATTTCGAATCTTTCCAACATAAAAGCATGAAAGAATCAAAGATATAGTTTTCATGTGGTTTTCTAGTTCCTTACCGTTTCAAAGCCATCTGTATCAAGGAATGCTGTGATCTTGGTGTGAATTTTTGGGAGTGGACCCGGTGGTCTTATTACTTTCCCTCCAACTTCCTTGGTAACAAGTTTTGCAGCTGCTGCGCTCTTGTACACGTCATCAGTGCCAATAGCAACCTTGGAATACAATGTTGGACAAAAATAAAATTAGAACATAGAAATCCATGACCAAGGATTAATTTTTAATTGCAGTCACTCAACAAAACCCTAGACACGAAGGGGTCAAGCAGAGAGGGAGGTGGGACTAGGTGATGAGGATTCTCTTCGGATTCTCAAATCGTGTTAGTTCATTGTACATCATGCGATTAGTTTTTGTCAAGTACTATTTATATTTAATTTTAAATAAAAGTATTTAAAATGATTTCTGACACGATTTGAGGATTTCTGTGATCCTTACAAAGAGGATCTGGAGAGGATCCTCAGGACTAGGGGGTTTTGTGGGTTCGATTATTTTTTTGGGGGGGGGGGGGTGGTGGTGGTGACGACTAGGGGGTTTTGTGGGTTCGATAATAATTTTTTTTTGGGGGGGGGGGGGGGTTGGTGAGGTAAATGGTTTTTTTGTTTGGGCTGTAGAGTTAACGTGATTGGGTGGGGGGGGGGTTGGTGAGGTAAATGTGTTTTTTGTGTTTGGGCTGTAGAGTTAACGTGATTGGGTTTTTAGACGCTAGAATTTATCCTTAATCAATAATTAGGAGGCGAGGCAAGTGTGTATTTTTGGTTTGTAAAGTAGAGAATGAGTCAAGAAAGTCAATAGACATCTTGATGAAACAAGGTCAACAGACTTTGGATTCTAATTTTTGGCCAAATCAAAGACAACGACTCAACGCGCTTTGCAATTTCTTTCATTTGTGTGTTGACTGAATGAAATGTATAAATATGCATGGGTGTAACTCACCTGTGCGTAACCATTTCCTCTCCTGTATGCCGTCACATTATAATTGTATTTCAACTCGATCACAACTGTTTGAGTGAGATTGGATCCATACCCCACCATACCTACGGTATACTGCAACACAAAATAATAATTAATATAACATTTGTTGTGCATATATTACAAAGTAAAATGGAATTCTGTTACCAGCATTACAATTTAGTGGTTTTTTCTCTCAACTTGTAAGTGAGACATGTTTTGACTTTCCGTGATGAGTTTGGTACAAATTTATGATTGTTCGAATGAGTGACAGTCCTCTTCTCACTCGATATCAATTTATAGTTGGCTCATTATCTGGTTTAGTCTAAACTCTCACCACCAATGTCGTCATATAAAGGAAAGTATAAAACTGACCTAGAAGGTAAAAGAAAAAAAAAAAATACACACACACACATATATATACCTGCTCTTGAGGGACGTCAAACTTTAGTAGTAGGTTCATGCCCAAGGACTGCACATGGCGTTTCAGCCAAAAATGCAATTGTGTAAGCATTCTGATAATCATAGCTAAGATGGAATAAAGGGGTTTATGAGAGAGTACGCAAAATCAACCTTGTTGTAGAACTCAATAGACCGATTTAAATCAATAACATTAAGACATATATGAGAAAGTGGTTCTGGAGTTGGCGGCCTCTGGAGGAGCTCAAAACTGTAGCCGTCGGGATCGTTCATGAAGGCGTAAACGGTATCCCCTCCTTCTACGAGGGGCCCGGGTTCACGAGTGATCACACCACCACTGGCTCGAACTTTTTCAACCGTGTTATAAATCTGAAGGTTGATTGATTCACAAACACACAGAAACGAAAATGTTAACCAAACGGTCACTACTCCTCAAAGTTTCAAACTTATTATTCAGCGAAAGTAAATGAACAATATGACACATACATCTTGGGTTGCAATTCCAAAGTGACTAAAGGCTGTTCCGATGTCTAGCTTGTCCGTTGTGTTGTCTGCGAATTAAGATCGTACGAGTAATAAATCAGTATTTGCTAGTACATACACGCATAAAATATTAGGGTTTCTTTAAGAGTTCAATTGCCTAATATATATGTATATATGTTTTGATCAATTTAGACAAAGTTTTGGAGTGAAGAAATTAACATACGATGGCATGTGAGCCCTATCACAAAGTGAGATTCTTCAGGTCCAAACCCAACGATCGCATATGAGTATTTTTCTTCTGGGAAATCTTTTCTACTCAATACTTTCAATCCAAAAAGTTGTGTGTAAAACCTGAGAAATAATATTTTGAGAAAAAAAATTAATTAATTATGTATTAGACAAGCTTAACCTGAAACGAATTTGCATGCATGCAAGAATACTTTGCCAAATTAAATACGTACTTAATGGTGCGATCAAGATCACTAACTCTGATATTAGCACGCAGGAAACGACGACTATCTTTCTGTACCCATTCTAACACATCGTCATGGGGTACTGCCCGAGCTGCCATACTTGATCCCATCTGATCATTAACATATATAGATGATGTTCATTAATCAAATTATGTGATATAATTAATTACAAACTCAACCATTATTATATACACACATGTACACAGCAAGACGATACCTCAAATAATTTAATTATTGAATAATGACTTATTTAGATATCAGTATTTTTATAGAATGAGGAAAACCAGAATTTTGAACAACTAATAGTATCGATATTCTTCCAAAAGTATGCCATTAACGATTCTAAATATGAATAATCTGGATAAATAAGTTGCTTCACTAGTTATAAAAACTTAAAAAATATAAAAAGATGATCCTGATGACATATTAGCTAGGTTACCACACACAGCTTACCAAAGAGAGGAACAGTAGAATAACACACACCAATTGCTCGGACTTGATCACCATCGTTGTATAAATGTACATATATTTTTTTGGACAATAAGGAAAAGGTCCGAATGAAAGTATGTGATAATTCCAAACTTCCAAAACTTGTATATATTCAGATCGATTGTCGCCTATTTATAACTCTTGGATTTTTCTGACTTTTCTTCGATTGAAAAATTATTGCATTGAATAATCCTCTCTCATGCTAAGCATTTTCATGATTTTGGTCAAATTTTGGACCTCTATATAAAGTTGAGAAGTTCTTTCGTCCATCATTTGACTTGGCTAGGTTTGCACGATCTGGATTAGTTGTGTTAAAAGAATTGAATAATCCTCTCTCACGCCAAGTATTTTCATGATTTTGGTCAAATTTTGGATATAAAGTTGAGAAGTTCTTTCCTCCATCATTTGACTTGGCTAGGTATGCACAATCTAGATTAGTTGTGTTAAAAGAATCTGAAGTTCATTTACTATGGAAAAATTAATTTTACATAAGGCGAAAAGGAGGCCATAGATTTGATCCTAGATTAGGTAAACGTTTTGAATTTTCTCGACTATAATGTACGTACTGTCATTAAAAAAAAAAAAGGGAGTATTTTGCATTTATTTTCTTACTAGACGTAAAGAATTGTTATTGGCACTAAAAAAAATTATTTTGCATTTATTTTAATTTTTTTAATTTTTTACACTAAAGAGAAGTGCATGATGAATCTTACAGTATTAATAGCTAGCAACTCTCAAAGAAAAAGACAATATTTTTCTTTGGGTTGGCCGATGTGTTCATATTTAAAAAGAGTTAGTAATTATAACACTATTGCTATAGTTATATGAGTAATGAGTATGATATGTATTGACACAATGAGTTCAACACATTGAGCTCAAAAATTAGAATCATTCTCATATAACTCAAAATTTCCAGCTTATTGTAGAATTAGATTATCCCGAGCCCGCATCCGCCACCGTTGCACGAACCATTTATGATGATCGTGTCGAGGTGGATTGTGGTTTGATTCCTATAAAATTGGAATAAAACTCAATTTTCTAGCACATTGTGGAAGGCATGAAAACTACTAAAAGATGAACCTTTATACAAGAAAGTTGTTATTGCTGCTCCAAAAAGGTCATCATACACTCATTTTTTTTTTATAAAAACACAAAAGGATAAATATACATAGAAGAGTGCAAGATGATCTTGTTAATGTATAATATATATAATAAAACACACAATTGTACTAAACTAGATTCACAGAAGATACATTTGAGCTAATTTTATTAAAATTCTTGTGCGTATCGAGATGCTCCTTGATTTTGTCGTAGAAAGGGGTTCGTCGTAGCTTTTTTTTGATAAGTTGCATGGCTTTAGGACACTTTCTTTCGAAGAAAATGACATGGATAACTAACGAACCACTACAATAGAAAATAACGGATCTAGTCACTTTAATAGCTTTAAGCTACGTGTCTTCTAGACACAGTCGTGGTTAGTGTGTGCATGTGGTGCCAATGGTAGTTTATAGATATGGAGAATATCTATATATTCCATTGAAAACCAGAGGTTGTCGTGGGTTTGGTAGACTCACCAGGATGATGCCTTAGTAACCAACTAGTAATATTCTAGGATCTCGCATGATGAAGTACTCCGTGGATGAGTTTGTAATGTCATTTTTCTTGTACCATCGGATGACATGTTGTTATCTACAACAACGTGGGGCGTGGTGCAAACCCCCAACATGTAAGACGAGATGAGTTTGGTAACTCTCTTACAGTGAGAACTTCATAAAGCAAAGAACGAAGTTTTCATTTTTGCATGTCTACAAAACTTTGCAAATAATCATTGTATCATGACAAGGTTATTTGATGATGTACTCTAACTTAAGCCATTACAATGGCAAAAGATTTTAGAAGATCTTAGTAGCATCAAGGGGATTCTTTCTAAGGTCCAATTGCTATTATTCGAAGGTTATACTAAGGAATACTGTGGTGCAACTCACCTATTCGCTCGAAGAGTACTAAGCTTACGATCTCGTATGATAATTGGATCAATAGTAGGCAGATGTTCCCAAAACGAACCCAGTGTTTGCACTGGTTGGAGCTTTTGGTTTTCTACATAATGTATTTGTTGTGCTCAATTATTGCAAGTTGCTAGCGATATCCATGGCTACTCAAATTTCTTTCTTGCCGACTTCTAAGTTCCCTTTTGCCAAAGAGAGATCGAAAGAAGCTTTTATTTATAGGCTTTGGAGGCCCTTAACCCTTTTTTTATTAGGCTGTC